CCTAACACCTATGGCCTCCCACCTAGTAGCGATGGCCTCCAACCTAATCAGCGATGGCCTCCAACCTAATCAGCGATGGCCTCCAACCTAATCAGCGATGGCCTCCAACCTAACAGCGATGGCCTCCAACCTAACGGCGATGGCCTCCAACCTAACAGCTATGGCCTCCAACCTAACAGCTATATGGCCTCCAACCTAACAGCTATATGGCCTCCAACCTAACAGCGATGGCCTCCAACCTAACAGCGATGGCCTCCCACCTAGTAGCGATGGCCTCCCACCTAGTAGCCATGGCCTCCCACCTAGTAGCGATGGCCTCCAACCTAATCAGCGATGGCCTCCAACCTAACAGCGATGGCCTCCAACCTAACAGCGATGGCCTCCAACCTAGAAGTGATGGCCTCCAACCCAACAGCGATGGCCTCCAACCTAACAGCTATGGCCTCCAACCTAACAGCTATATGGCCTCCAACCTAACAGCTATATGGCCTCCAACCTAACAGCTATATGGCCTCCAGCCTAACAGCTTATATGGCCTAACAGCTATATGGCCTCCAACCTAACAGCTATGATGGCCTCCAACCTAACAGCTATGATGGCCTCCCACCTTGTAGCGATGGCCTCCCACCTTGTAGCGATGGCCTCCAACCTAACAGCGATGGCCTCCAACCTAACAGCTATGGCCTCCCACCTAGAAGCGATGGCCTCCCAACTAGAAGCGATGGCCTCCCACCTAATAGCGATGGCCTCCAACCTAACAGCGATGGCCTCCAACCTAACAGCGATGGCCTCCCACCTAGTAGCGATGGCCTCCCACCTAATAGCGATGGCCTCCAACCTAACAGCGATGGCCTCCCACCCAGTAGTGATGGCCTGCGACCTAATAGCGATGGCCTCCAACCTAGCCTCTCACCTAGTAGCGATGGCCTCCCACCCAATAGCGATGGCCCATGGCCTCCAACCTAGTAGCGATAGCATCCCACCTAGAAGCAATGGCCTCCAACCTAGTAGCGATGGGCTCCCATTCAATAGCGATGGCCTCCAACCTAGAAGCGATGGCCTCCAGCCTAGAAGGAATGGACTCCTTATGCAATGGCCTCCAACCTAAATACTAGCAATGGCCTCCAACCTAGAAGCAATGCCCCTCAAACCTAGAAGCGAAGGCCTCCAACCTAGAAGTGATGGCCTCCAACCTAGAAGCAATGGCCTCGAACCTAGAAGCAATGGCCTCCAACCTAGAAGCAATGGCCTCCAACCTAGAAGCAATGGCCTCCAACCTAGAAGCAATGGCCTCCAACCTAGAAGCAATGGCCTCCAACCTAGAAGCAATGACCTCCAACCTAGAAGCAATGACCTCCAACCTAGAAGCAATGACCTCCAACCTAGAAGCAATGACCTCCAACCTAGAAGCAATGACCTCCAACCTAGAAGCAATGACCTCCAACCTAGAAGCAATGACCTCCAACCTAGAAGCAATGACTTCCAACCTAGAAGCAATGACCTCCAACCTAGAAGCAATGACCTCCAACCTAGAAGCAATGACCTTCAACCTAGAAGCAATGACCTCCAACCTAGAAGCAATGACCTCCAACCTATGTTTTTTTCTTCGGACTTCGTTTTCTGCTTTGCGAGTCGTCTACGAGGCCTTCGAAGCCCCGGCGCAAACGGCTGTGGAAGTGCACGTGCGCGACGTGCGTGATGTGCGGAGCTTGTTCGTACTTGAAACAAGTGCTCTGAATGCATGTTAAGTTTTCCGCTTCCCTTAAAAAGAATATCGTGAGCGAAGCGTCCTGTTGGTAGTAGCACCTAGTACCTAATAGAGCTTCTAACTGATAGCTACCTCTTCCTATCCGCAGCCTACCATCCTCTTGCTGGGGCTAAAAAGGTTTTAAAGGTAAAATTAGAAGGCTTCTTTAACATATATACTAGGAACAAGAAGCTGCTAGGAGCAAGGGCATCGCTACTAGGGGCTCCTGGCATCGCTACTAGGAGCAGGGGCATCGCTACTAGGGTTCGCTTGGCGACGTCCGAGACGATTCAGACGGTGTCTGTCAGCGACACCTTGGTCCACATCAGCGGGCTTTGCGTTTGGAGCCCCAGGAGCTTTTTTCGCTACTAGGAACAAGTGCATCGCAACTAGGAACAAGTGCCTTACTAGTAGTAACAAGAAGCCATTAGTAACAATAAGCTACTAGTAGCTTCTTGTTCCTAGTACAGCCAGGAGCCCCGTTCGTAGCGTCCGATCGCTCCTAGTAGCGATGCCAGGAGCCCCTAGTAGCGATGCCCTTGCTCCTAGTAGCTTCTTGTTCCTAGTATGTGAAAGTGTGTCGCGTGTGCGAGGTCACGGCGCAAGATGAGATCACCGGAGAAGATTCTTCTTTGTGAAGAGCTCAGGGGTCGGAGGCTAGATGTAAATCATCCGAGGCAATTTATTCACAGCCTTTTCATCGTAAAATCCTGCGTTAGGTCCATGCTGCTTCTTTGCTCTTTTGCCTCTTTGTATTCTATGTGTGTTTCGTCTTTGTTTGTGCTCGTTTTGTTGCACAGGAGGATGCAAGCGAAGAAGCATCAGCACACTTGTATCAGGAAGTAATCAACGTCGACCACAAGGAAGGAAGAAAGGAAGGAATGATGCTGCAGATTTTGTCGTCGTAGTGCCATAGTGCGGGAGGTGAGTTGAGGGAGCAGCCCGTTTCCCATAGCATGCAGTAGCTTGTGCCCCTGAACTGCCTTAACTGATGGCGTTCTTTCTTTGGTGAGCCCTTGCATGCTGCTTTGCTCCCTCCTTCTTTTCCTCTTTTCCTTCCTTTCTTCCTTCCTTCCTTCCTTGAACTGCCCCCAAATCAAACCTTCTGGGGACCACTCCTTTGTGTAACGCAATGACGCACACTACGCAATCTAAGGGTCGTTCTCAGTGGTTTTGCCTACACACTGCTTCCAAACGCTTGAAATGAGAGCTTCCTGTGCTAAAGCATTGCAAGCCTGAACCATCCTGAACCCTTTTGACAATTATTATGTAGATGTTTATGTGGAGCCCACCGGTGACCTCGGTGCAAGTGCTGAGGAGTCTTGATGTTGTTCGTTGCGAAGGCCTCCAACCCAAGAGCGATGGCCTCCAACGTACTAGCGATAGCCTCCAACCGAAGAGGGGTGGCCTCCAAACGAAGGGCGGTCGGCGATGGCATGCGAGCTAAGAGCCAAGAAGCTTCGGATGACGGGAATCACGGAGAAGTGTACCACATGTTTCAGTAAACTTCTACTAGGAACAAGTGCATCGCTACTAGTAACAAGTGCCTTACTAGT